CTAAATGTCGTCAAAATTTTTATTATATTATTTAAAAAATTAATTGATCGAGAGGAAAAAGTAACAGTAAGAAAGGGAGGCATGAATTCGGACGACGAAGAAGAAAAAAAGGAGTTATAAATTTATTTTTCACATTTTTCCAAACCACTTTTTTAACCATTTTATTTTTCAAAACTACTTTTCAACCACATATGAATACACATTCACTGACTTTGAGCCAAAAAGTCGCGGAAACGATCACATTCATTTCGTTGTGTTTCTGGAGCATTCAATTCAGCAGCGGCTTGCTCCTGTTCATCTGGAAGTTCTACCTCTGCCGCGTCTGAATCTGTCTCCACCCTTGTGAACGCTTCGTCGACAACTCCTGCCCGTCGAAGGAAGTTGTGTATACCCATCGTGGCTAGGACAACAGCAGTTTGAATTTTGAAATTATAACTAGGCATACGATCGAGTATTTTCCACCGAACTTTCCACACACCAAAGGCACGCTCGATAACGTTTCTGCACGACGAATGCCTGAAATTAAATCTCTCACGTGCGTTGCGAAAGTTTCGTCTACGACCCGTCTCATCGTCGTAGAACTGTTGAAAATGATACAGTATATCAGAACCCTTGTATGGAGCCATGTACCCAGGTCTATGGGCGAATCCTGAGTCGACAAGATAAAATTTTCCCGGGGCAGGATGGGGAAAATCAATTTCAAGACTATGTATAGACCGAGCTAACATGCGTGAATCATGCGTTGTTCCCGTCCACCCTGCATGCACAAATATGAAACATAAATTAAAATCACATGCTGCCAGAACGTTTTGTGTTGGAATGCCCTTGCGTCCGACGAAATTTACTCGTTCGTCCCGCGGCAAGATAGCTTGCACGTGCGTTCCGTCAATTGCACCTATGCAATTCTCGAATAGCGGATGCTGGTTCAAATTTGGTACATGATGCTCCGCACCGTGATTATAGTTTGGATCAGGTCTAATGAGGCGTATAGCAAATTCGCATGCGGCATCAAGCACAATTTTGAAATAGTGCCCAATAGTTTGCAAAGAATGATTGAACAAAGTTCGAACCTGTATGTAGCCCTTTCCATGGGCTAATATGCATAAAAACATTCCAACTTGTTTATACACATCAACTTGCTGGCCACTATGCAGTCCATATTCGTCACGGAGTATATGAGTGAACGTACGCAGCATGGCAGGATACATCCTGAATTCTGCATAACACTGTTCGAGATTACATTGCATGGCGTCTAGCATAAACATGTGTCCGTTCCTCGCGAAGGGAATTCGACGTCTCTGTTCGCAATAGTAAGTTGCCACATCTATAGAGGACATTCTGCAGTAGCGAAACCACTCAATGATGTCCTCTTTGAGCTCTTGCAGAAGTTCCTCCTCCCCGATCTCATCTTCACATTCAGAGGACGGCAGAAGCACACAGTTGAAATTGAAATTCGCCATTTTCACTTAGGCCCCGTTTGATAGGGATTTTTCCCCAAAAAATTGATTTTTTGACCGTTATTTTACTATTCAAGTCGTAAATTTTGACTTCTTCTCTCACATGTGGACCCCACTTTTCTTCTAACGGTCAAAAAATCAATTCTCAAAATCCCTACCAAACGGGCCCTTAGTAATTGCAAAAGAAGCACTGAAAAAAAAAACCCCAAGCTACGTTCCTTGGAAGTTCAAGTTTTTGTGAGAATGGAAGGGATTGGTTGCACTTTCTCTTTAATAGACGTTGCTCCACAGATTACTGTCATTAGTACAAATTAAAATGGACATTGGCAGGAAGAAAAGCTCATTGAAAAAAAAAAAGATTCTTGACTCAATTGATGGTTAGTGTACTAACTGTGGGTCATTATTTGAATAGGACCCTTGGAATGAGTTAATGTTCAGGCACGTATAGTAATTGGCATGCAATGGCAACAGGTACATAATCTTTTGAAAGTGACATGAAATATTTCATTGCAGTTGTGGATTCGTGAGATCACTTAGTAGTAAAGTCCCATTTTTGTTCACATAGACATGCCAAAATGAAAATGAAAAAACAACACACAATTAAAAATGTCTACATAAAACTGCTGTAAGGGGAAAATTTTCCGTGCCGCAGATTTCACTTCGGATGAGCCTTTCTGTGCTCCAGCCAACTCCACTCGACCCAGTCCAGTTTGTCGTTCGCGTCTTCCTGCATTGCAAGTATCTCCCTATTCGCCTCAGTGACAGGAAGCTCAACGTCCAGAAGTACATATCAGTTTTCTTGTGCAGTCGGCCAGTCGACAACATCTCGTTCATGAGCGTCTGCGCGTCTGGAACAGTAGGACCCAGCAAATTGTTGATTGTAGCTGCTACCTTTTCACTAGCAGTTGAAGCACGATTAACGGCATCCGATACATCCGAGGCGGACATTTTTGCTCTCTTACCTTTTTTGCTATTGCCGCCAGACCTATGTTTATCCCCACTTTGCGGCCTCGACATGTCCGCACTAGATCCAGCCAATTCTGTTTTCTCGCTCTCATCACTTGACCCGGTGCCTTCCTCGTCAAGCGGTTGATTGTCGCGTAGGTCCTCGAGTCCACTATCTTCGAACATGGAGAAGCCTGTCCTGCACATTGTTGAGGGTGTGACTGCATACTTATCGTTGTCATATGTATCCTCGAATAGCACCTTGAAGCTGTACACCTCCCTGCAGTCTTTGCCTTTAAATTCTTTGTAGTCCTTATTTTCCTGTTACACATGCAGAAGAAGTTGAACATCAGAATGCTTCAAAACAGCAATGGTTTCAACATAGTATAGAAACTTGTGTAGTCAAAATTTGAAAAATAAATTGTGTTGTGCATATCGAAAGTAATAGTTAGTAAGTTACCTTGAGTGTTGGAAGAAACAGAGCCCCATGCCTCAAAGCCATTCAATAGTCACTTGAAATTGAAATTACAAGTCTGAGGAGACAAATCAATAGTTTTTCATGTTTTTAGATGAGATGGTCATTTAAGCTTCTAGACGGATTTCCCAAGAAGTTGGTGATTTATAATAAAGAAACGTCATCCCATGTGTATACAGCCGGAATCTTAAGAATAAAACTGGCTGTTTTCCTGACCTTATGAGGCGATCGATTCTCTTTTTTTCCCTCTTGAATGTGCTATTTATCCCGTATGGGCCCAATATATTTAGGATTTCTAACTGTAAACACAGCCTAATTACACAACACTTCTAGTGAAACTCACCTAATTACTCCAAAGTCTTGGATCTGGGTTACTGATATATATTGAACACAGACGACAATATTTACGAGGGCCAAACACGCATAAGGATAGCATAGCATGTCTCCTTCTTCAAGATCTAACAGTTTTACTTTTTTCGCACTATTTTCATGATTAAATTCCAATCATTGAACCTAAAAATTTAAGAAAATCCCTTGGCAAGTCTATGCAAAAAGAATGAATATCAGCATCCTGAGAACTATGAAGATGCTGACTCGGGAGGGTCCATAGTGAATAGAAAATCAATAGCAGGACATTGCACGAGTTTCCCAGTTTGAAAGCAATTCAATTTGTAAAATGCAAAAAATGACCATATTAAGCAGTGTACCTTCATCTTTCTCTCCCACCAGTCGTCGGAAGCAGCAATATATCCCGTTTTGGAGATGTACTCCACTCCAGTATTGTGAATAAGCTCCATCAGACGTTTGTGTTTCGTTCGAAGACCATCCCAATGATTCTTCAGTTGCTGCTTCGTCCAACAGTGACCGGAGTTCGAATTGAACAAATGGATGAGTTGGTCCCATCCGTGTTTCGTGAAGCACTTTCCGTTACGGTGACCGTCGGCTATCACCGTCTCGCACGCGGCAATGAAAATCCGGTTCTCATGTGGATTCCATTGGGCGTGCTTGCGCGTTGGTGGTACTGGTTGGGTCATGCTGGGAAAAGGGTTCGAGGTGGACGAATTTAAGTTTCCACCCGTCTGCGACAAGAAACGGCGAAGACGAGTTCGTTAAATAAGTTGGGTTCAGTTCAAAATTGTGTGTTCTGTAGGTGCAACAAAAAATTTGGAACTGAAAACACTTACTGAGGGGACATATGGGTCCATGTTGTGAGCTCACAAGTTGTATTCCGGCAAGCAGGTTCGTCGTCGTCTACCGCCTAACACGAGTCCGTATTTGACGGGGAAAAAACTCTCAGACAATAGGATTTGACAGGGAAAAAATTCCTTCTTTGTGCTGCCAGAGCGCTAATTGAAGGAAAAAAATATTTACGACTAGATCTGGAAGTTCGTCGTCGGGTGTTTGTAGGGAAAGAAATATGCGAAATGTGAGGTGCCGGTGCAAGGAAAAGGGGGAGAGAATCTTGGCAGTTGAGAGTGTGTAATGACGGGGGTAATATTGGAAAAATGAGAGTAAATGGCCTGTTGTTGTACTGCAAAGATGTCAGAATATTTCCATTAAAAAATTGTCCAACAGTGCAATTTTTGATCAGCAATGGTCCAAATTCAGCTTAAAATCATAGCCAGACAGGGCCTAAGTAGTACTAAACGGCAAGGGGAAATTTGATTTAGTATTTATGAAAACAAAGACATAAAATTCAAAATAAATTTTTGATATTTTCCATGAAAAACTCAAAACACAGTAAATAAAATCCAATTTCTCCTTCTAGTATCACAGTAAATAAAACCCATAATATTCCATCCAAAATAAGATTTCTATCCTTATGATTTGAACAAAATATTTTTCTTAGGTATTTGGACATGAATAATGCTCTTTGTACACTCCATGTTGTACATGGAGTTTGACATCACTTGAAAATTCAAAAATGAATGGGCGGGAAAGTATGTGTTATTTTAAAACTGACCACTCATGCTGCAATACATGTCACAATGTCAAATTTGATGTCAAATAAAGTGTACATGTAGCATGATTGATTTTGACATTAGAAATGCATTTATCCTTGAATCCTCAAAATATTTCCACTCACAAACCCTTGAGATTCCATCCAAAATCATATTTTGATTTTTGAACAAAAACATTTGTACACAATGGCGTAATAAGGTGTTATTTTGGGCTACCTCAAAACTTCATGGACTGAAGCAAATCCCTGTCGACAATTCTAATTGCAGAACCAATCCAGCTAGGGCAGAAATTTTCCGCTGAGCTGGCATGGAAGAAAAAAAATGTTTTAACCAAATGTCAGATAACCCAAGACAATACGAGCTGCCCCATTTCTCCCCACGTTTCACCAAAACCAATTTCCCACTAAATGGTCCTGCCGATTGGAGAGAAACACACCCATCAAGATTACGCCGTCAACTTGGTTTTCATCTCCAGCAAATTTCGCCCAATTGAACCGTGAATAAGTACAAGGTTTTCAGCTATATAACTATTACTCTTGCATAAACCCTAACTTCCTACCCATTTTGCCATCGTAGTCGTGACTATCTCCGGTCGGCGTCGTTCAATGGTTCCACTGAGAGGCCAACATCTTCAGACATTATCTCCGACCCATTTTGCGAGTAAAGTTTATTATTTGTTTCAGATCCTCTGCACATTTCTTGGGAAGGTATGTTTTTTTGGCTTTTTATATAATCTTCGTGTTCTTGAAAACCTGTTGATCTGCAGCTTATGGCATGGTATGCGATGGATTTTTTTGTTCCGATTTAAACTTTCATTATTTTGATATGTACAGAAAAATAGAGGCATTTATAGCTTGTAGAAATTGGTCTTATCGAGTTTAGATGATAAATTATTTTCATAATCTATTTGTTTAGAAGTATTAAATCACTGTATTTGGCTAGAGAAAGTGAAATGAGAGCACATTTAAATTGTGATTCGTATGATCTGTTTTTCTGGTGATGATAGTATTCCATTTCAATTTTGATGATTTTCGGTTATACCTGTAAGTGCAAGTAGAAGTCGTTGCTGGAATGTTCTTTGAATTCTACATTGGAATGTTCTTTGAATTTTGATGATTTTGATGGAATTGGTCCTATCGAATTTTAGAAGTCGTTGCTGGAATGTTCATTGCTAGAATGATTTTCATAATCAATTTTGATGATTTTGATGCTCTGTTGCTGGAATGTTCTTTGAATTCTACGTTGGATGGTAGAATTTATTTGTTGGATTCCTATGGTAGTATAGAATGTTGCTTAAGTTTTAATCGAGCTATTTTTTCGGGATCTCTATTTCATTTTAGTTTGTAATGAAATCCTCTAAATATTGTTTGCCACATAGGGATGAGAGGGAGGAATTATGGTGTTTGTCACAGTTGTTGAAACATAAATTGCCAAGCATGTTCGAACATCTAGCTCAAATGGCTGAAAAACGAAACGTCGAGATTTCATTGAACGTGACATTCCACAAAGGAAAAGAGCCCTCAAACGATAATGGAGAAGAAAAGGGGCCAGCATGATTATTAGTTATATTTATTCTCGCACCCAGAATAGTTTTGTGTTTGGGTTTGTAATACCGAGAGACGACAAAAAAAATCAAAGAACCCAACAATTTTCATTTTTGAAGAATGCCATGAAGGCACTCTTTTTTATATGTATGGTATCATGAGTAAAATGTTTGTGTTGCATTATTTTTTGGGTATTATTTTTATATGTATGGTATCACGAGAAAAATGCAATAACTCCAGCAAGCACTGTCAGCAATAACTCGGCATTAAGATGGATTAGAATACACATATGGAACTCAATTTTTAAGCAAGAATAGAAATGTCGATTTTTATCTACAGGAAAGGACATTGCCAATACACACCCTCATTTCTTCTTAGCATGAAAAGTTGAAAACTTGGTTACTTATAAAATATGTGCAAGGAATTTTTTTGATCTGCCTAAATTATTCTATGCATCTCTCGGCGACACCTTAGCAGTCTATCTCACATTTTTCTATCCAACGAAATGCATATCATGTAGAGTTCTTAATTGCACAGCTCTTTCAAATCCCCGACATTTTCTTAAAGAAAGGATTAAAGCATTTAGATTTCAATAAGAATTTTGAA